ATTCTGGTCACATCTACTGAAATGAAGTTTCATCTCTATCTCAATTGAGCGCTTCAGTATTTATTTAGAGTAAACGTATTCCAAACGCCCTTTTTCTTTGCAAATAAGAAAACAAAACTTTCTTCTCGAAGACGAACATTTGTGGTTTTAATCTTAAACTTGTTTACAAGATTTTTAGCCTTAGACTATGCTCCACTAGACTCTTTGTTACCAAACCGGTTATTGTATAAAGACTAAGAGAAAGTTCCGTCGTGCTCGGTGACACGTTTTGTGTATTGTGTTCGTAAAGTCCGCTGTTACGCAATCGGCATTCCTTTCATTTTAAAGTTCTGCTCATGATTGCATTAGCAATCGGTTTCAAATATTTATTTTCATTTGTTTTGAAATTTGAATTTATTTTGCATAATATACGAGAAATATTTTAGAAAATATTAAAAATGTAATCAAAATATGTTGTTCACTGCGTACTACAAGAATTTGAGAATGTTGATATGCAAAAGAAAATTTAGCAAACTTGCCTATGAACAACTTCGACGAATTATTATTTTCTCACAACGGATCCTAAGACATCTATGTGTCGCTAAAATGCTCACAACTTCTTTGGAACAAGTTCGTTTTGCATACGATGTCACCATATGTCGGACCTGGTAACAAATCTTTACTTTCTATGGCGAATTTTTACAGAAAGATGCGACCTGTAAAATCGACTGTTTGAGGGGTTTTGATGCTAGTGTCATAATGCAACTTCCTACAAAAAAAAGCAACATTTCGAACCAAACGGTCCATATTTGACCTAAATAAGCGAATAAGATGATAGTATTGAGAGGCAGTTTGTTAGATAACAAACTCTTACATCATATTCGTCTTTTTCTGAATTGACTCAGACAACGAAATTAAAGATCGTATAGCTGGTTGACAAGAAGGATAGCAGAAACAGTCAGAAATTAATCTAGTGTCGAAAACTGAGAAGCATCTGTCCCGCTGTATTAATGTGCTTGCTTGGAAGGACAGTCAATTCTCCAGCTTCGATTTTCTAACATATTGGTGTAAGGCACAATTAAATATTTCCAGTAAACAGTATTTCCATTTTTATCAATTTTCTAATATTATCTAATTTAGATT